AGAGCACGGCAATCCTGTGGCCACTGGGCCCCTCAGCAGGCCAGGCCACAGGGTGCTCTGTGCCTCAGTTTCCCCACTTTTCTAAACAGGGCTGATGAAAGGGCCTCTGTCTGTGCTGACCTCACCGTCCTCCCTGCCATGCAGGACATGGGTTGCCCAACCCACATCATCCTGGGGAGGGCCGGGGTCCCTTGGGCTGGCCCGGATGCTGTCTGCAGCCACAGTGGCTGAGACTGAGCCCCCCACTGTCCCCAGGCTCAGCTGGCCAAACTGGACTCTCAGGCTCTGGTTGGACACTGTGCTGGGATTTGTGTGTGGTGGCTGGGTGCGGGGATGGCAGGGTCAAGGGTGGTGGGGTGAGGCTCTGAACAGGGCACTGGCCGTGCTGCCCGGGGGTGCCCAGAGGAGCCGGGAGGACCAGGAGGAGTGGGCATTCTGCGGTGGAGACGGTGGGGCTGCGGAGACGGCAGGCCGGCTTGGTCGGGTGGCCTGGACGCCTGACTCAGCTGCAGCCTGGAGTTGGGCTTGTTTATTTTTGGCAGGAAGGGGGTGGGGAGGGGAGGGAGGCCTTTTCAAAAAATAATAATAATAAAAACGTTCATTTAGCAGGCTCCCAAGGCGTGCTGAACTCCAGAAGGGCCCTGGAAAAATGCTGAGCGGGTTTAAGTGTAAATGGACCCAAAACACCATAATTAAATTTCCCTTGGATTTACCAGAGTTTGGGGTCAAAGAAAAAATAAAACTTAGGGAAAATACACTTGAGGTTTCAGGCAAATGCCAAGTGCTTAGGAAAATAGATTTCTGAGCTGCTCAGCGGCTACTGGCTTGGCCCTCCAGCTGTCTGTCGGGGGCCTGAGCCCCGCCCTGCTGGACTCCGCTGCCCTCCCCTGGCCTCCCCTGTGGCTGCCTCCTGCCCTTTTACCTTGGCTAAGCAGCCTGACTATGCCAGGCTTTGGACGGGGAGTGGGAGCCCCCCGCCTCAGATGGGTGGACACCAGGACAGTCTACACCTCTCTCCTCTGCCTGCAGACAGCTCTGGTCTCCCATCTTTGCTCATCTGAGAGCAACCACATTTTCCAAATCAAAAGTCAGGACTTGAGGTCTAGAGATGTGAGTGAATGAAGGGGCAAAAAGACCAGAAAGTCTGGTCTGAGACCATCACGGTAAGTCCCAGCTCCCAACAGCACATGGTTCATGTTGTTGCCCTTTTTGCTCAGCCTGTCAGGAAGCTCAGAGCTAAAATTTAAAAATCTTGCATAGTAGCTAGTGTTGGCTGAGGGATTTTGGAATGTTTTCTCTCTTTTTTTCCAAGTTCTTTAAAATTCCATTTCTGTTATAACAAGCAAATCAAATGTGCTTTTTTTTTTATCTTTACCCTCATTCTCTCAGAATAAATTAAAAAGGCAGAAATCACCCATGATTTCATCTGCCCATAAGACCCCACTCAAGCGTGCTCTCTCCTCTTTGGGGAAGGGGTCAGCCCTGCCCAGCTTACGGGACTACTGAGGGGCCCTATTCCTCCTCCCATGATGCCTACCCTTGTGCCTAGACCCCTCCTGGGGAGGAGTCTCATGGCAGGGTGGAAGAAGCTCCCACCAGCTCCGGGCTAGGCACCCACAGAGGGCTGGCTGGGCAGGGTGCTCCCTGAAAGTCCCTGTCCTGGAGTCTAGGCTGGCCCTGTGGGCAGTGGGCAGTTTGCAGATCCAGGTCCTCTCCAGAGCGTCCTCTCTGCCAGTGGCACCCCGTGACACCCCATCGGCCCAGGTCTGGCAGGGGCAGCCCAGGAAGGCAGATGTGAAGTTGGCCCCTGTGGCCTGCTGGTGTCCTGCAGCCTGGGCACTTCACCTGGTGCTCCTCTGGGGCAGCCCTCTTGCCTGCTCACCAACACAGGCCCCAGCAAGCCAGGGCACCCAGCTCTGAGTCGGCACCCGGGCTGGGCTTGGCTGGGCCATCAACCTCTGCCTGGGCCTGGCCTCCACCTCCCACCGGGCTCTTCACTGTGGATCCTGCAGGAGTGGGCCTTGGGATGGGGCACTGGACTGGGGACACTGGCAGTCTGGAGGCTCCCTGATATGGGGCCAGCCACCCTGGACTCCTGCACCACTGACAGGCCCCCTTAATCAGAAGCTCTCCAGGGAGGGCCGCCCTGGGATGCAGGACGCAGTTGGGTAGTGCTGACGGGGTGGGGAGTCAGGGGTCTGATTAAGGCTGGTAGAGGGGCGGCAGCACACCATCCAGGCAATGATGTGCCAGCCCGAGGGTGGCACCTGCCTTGTCCCAGTGTCCAGGAGGTGGCCCCCAACCCCTGTGCTCTTTGCTGAAGCTGACCACTTAAAGTGATGGCGCTGAACATCAAAGTTTGTCCGACATTGCCTTCGGGGAGGACTGGCCTTCGGGGAGGCCGCCCTGGAGAGCGTGCCTTGCTCCTGACAGCACCAGCCCCTCTGGAGGCAACGTGGCTGCTCTCTGCCCCATGGCCCGCAGACAGAGCCCACAGTGTCTGAGAGCCCCCACTGAAGGGGTGATGCCAAAAGAAGTGGGTCCCCTGGGTGTGCAGTGGACAGGACAGAGGCTCAAATGCCTGGGCCCGAGGGCCTGAGCGCTCACGGGGAAAGGGGCCCTAACAAGCCAAGCCGGCTAGGAGCTTGAGATGAGATGGCCCTACACCCACAGGTGTCCTTACAGAAGGCAGAGGGGGACACAGAGACACAGAGAGGGCCCATGAAGAGCTGGGAGAGGGGCCGGTGGGGTCAGGTTAGGGTGCACACATGGGAGGAGTGGGGCTGGGCCAGGAGCATTACACCAGGAGACAATCCTAGAAACGAGGTAAAACTGTGCCAGGATGGTGCACGCTGAGCAGGTTCAGGTGCCCAGGAAACAGGGCACCACTGATCCAGGGAGACAGGCCTGGAGCTCCTCAGAGCCCTCCTACCTGCAGGAGCCTCTCATGGGAGGCCAGCCTCAGGTGCCCCTCCAGTAGCAGGCACCTCCCTGTCTCTCCTGCCATCTTCTTCCCACAAAGGAACCAGGAGGGTCAACACTATCCCAACACCCAGAGGAAGAGGGTCAAGGAGACACAGGAACAGACTCAATGGCCAGTTAATGGACTAGGGCAGGACATCTGCTGCTGCCTGAGGATGGCATCCTGGGAGGAGACCTGGGTGGCAGCTGCCCAGGGAGCGCACTGGAGTGAGGCTGGACAGTCCTTGGGGGGTTCAGCCAGTCTGGAGGGATATAGGCTTGGCCAGACCAGGTGACAAGGATGGCAGAGGCCGAGGTGCCCAACTGTGAGGTGAGTACAGGGCACAGGGCTCCCTGAGGTCAGCCCAGGCTGTGCCTGGAGCTCAGGGTGAGCACTGCATGCTGGGCAGGGATGAGCAACTGGGGATGAGGGGCTGCCGTGCCCATGTTCCTGATGAGCAAACAGACCCCAAAGCCTGGTGGGGGACCCCCTCCTCCCTGGCTGGTTCCCATTAGCTGGGTCCTCTGAGGCCCTGCCTGAACATGGGAGAGATGCTTATGAGGGTGGTCACAGAAGCTAGGCATATGGGGCAAGAGGACCCAGAGCATCTGCAGAGCAGTACCAACCGCTTCCTGGCCTGATGGGGAGGCCAAGCTGGTGCTCCTAGGCACTGATATCAGCAGCTTGGACCTTCACCAGCTGGAATGTGTCCCATCCTAAGGTGCCCCACACTTTCGGCCAGTTTGGACTCTGCCACCAGCTCCCCACATGGTCCTTTCTCAGAGCCCTAGGGTGGGCTCCCCACACCTGGTGGCTCCCAGCCTCAGCTTTCTATTTGGAGGCCTGACAGACACACAGCCTCCAAACCTGTTTTCTCCCTGGAAGGGAGGTTGTGACCCCGCAGCAAGGAGCTCAGCTGAGCTGCACTTGTGCCATAGGGACTTGCGTCTATGATGCAGAGCATGTTCCCTGCATCTTCGTCCTCACCGCCAGGCCTGGGCACATACATTTGCCTCTGCCTGGAATGCGGTCCTGCTTCCTCCACCTGAGGAATTCCTGCTCACTCGGCGGGGTTCAGTTCAGCGGCCACTTCTCAGTGAAGCTGCCCACACTCCCCGTTCCCCACTGAGACCTCCCCTGTGAGCGGGTGAGCACAGTCCCAGCGCGCCGGGGCTGCGCTGTGCGAAGAGAGGCCTGTGCTGGGACTCGCTGCGCCCCCGCGACAGGATCGCCCTCCGGGCCCCGCCCCTGCTCCCACGCCCTCCAGGACCGCCTGGCGTCCCCGCCCCCGGACCGCCCCCGAGGAGGGGCGTGTTCCTGCGCCCCAGCGAGCCGCGCGGGCGTGTCTGGGGGCGTGTCCAGGGGCGTGGCGGGCGCGGGCCGTCCCCCACTGGCTGCCGCGCGCCGGGCAGCCCCAGCTCAGTGCACTGTGGCGGCGGCGGCGCGGGCAGCTGGCGCCGCTCGGTCCCGCTCCGGCGCACGGGCGCACGGGCGCACGGGCGGGTCGACGGCCGGAGGGACCCGGCGAGCGCTGCCCGCGGGCTGCAGTCCGAAGTGGGAGCCGCACTCAGTGAGTTGGGTTCCTGTGGCCGCCAGGTTGGAGCGGGGGACCAGGCGGGCTCTTGGAGAGGCCCGGCGGGCGCTCTGAGGGCCCCGGGCGAGCGGCGGGCTCGGATCTGGAGCGGTCCCTACGACGGGGCCCGGCCGGGAGCGGGCTTCCCGCTCTGGAAAGTTTGCCGCCGCCGCCGCCCTGGGAGGGCTCTGCGGCAGCCAGGGAGAGAAGGAGGAGGAGGGAGGGACCGCGGCGGGGAGGAGGCGGCCGGCGCCAGGCGGCCCGTGAGCCTTGGGCGGCGGCGGCAGCGGCGGCGGGAGGGGCGGCCAAGGGGCGGCGGGGTCGGGGCGCTGGCCCCGGCCCGGGTAACGAGCTGTTTTCCTCCCGCAGACTCCGGAGCGGCGCCCACCTCCTGCGGGAGCCGGGCCGTGGGGGACAGCATGTCCGCGCGCGCCTCCTGAGGACGCTGTGGCCTCCGCCCCCGCCATGGGCGCCCCGGCCTGCGCCCTCGCACTGTGCGTGGCCGCGGCGGTTGTGGCGGGCGTCGCCTCGGAGCCCCCGGGCACAGAGCAGCGCGTCGCGCCGAGAGCGGCAGGTAAGGAAGCATGCAACGTGCACCTAGAGGGGCCGGGCGGTGGCAGGTAGAGGCGTCGGGGACCCGGACAGGGCCTGAGTGGCGAGAAAGTCCCGGTGGAGTTTCACTGCAGGACTAGTGTCGGGTTCTGGTGTCCCTTTCTCCCGAGATCGCGACCAGAGCCGACGCGGCGGTTTATGGGGTTACTGGAGCCGCAGGGCCACCACCCAAGTGCGAGGCGCCAGACTCCCGTCCCCCGCGACTCCCCAGCCGAGGCGCGGTCGAGAGGGCGCGGTGGGGGTACCACCGAGTTTCCACTGTTGCCCCTCGGGTGCTCCGCAGATGGAAACTTCCTATTGTTGGTGCCCCCCCATCCCGGCTCCCGGGGGCCTCAGTGCTTGGCCAGCGTCAGCTAAAGCAAGAGGTTGGACTTTGGAGGTGGGTAGGAGTGTGTAAGCCGAAGCTCGGCCTCTGCCCTCCAGTAGCCCGCGTGATGAGGTGACAGCCTCCGGGCCACCACCGCCCCCTCCCTGCTCTCTTGCCCGGGGGTCCAAAGGGTCTGCCCCTGGGTGCTCACCCAACACCAGGCAGGGAGGGCTGTGGGAGGTGAGGGTGCAGATGTCAGGGTCGTGGGGTCGCAGACGCGGGCCGGCGGTCAAGGTCCAGCAGGACGTCGAGGGTCAGCAAAGAGAGCCTGCAGAGCAACAGGAGGACAGGGTGCGCCAGGCCCGCCCAGCACACGCTTTCGAACCTGAGGCGCGCAGGGGAGCATGGCGGTGCTGCGGGCTGCTGGGTGGAGGGTTGGTCTGGCTGGCGACCGCTCGGAGGGAGGCCTTCGCCCCGTGAGCCTTGCCCCACCCGGGCCGAGGCCCGAACAGCCGCTCCTTTGTACCCGGGCGGCCACAGACCGCGCATTGATGGCGGCGGCCTCGCGGGGAGGTGCGAGCTGCGCGGCGGGCGCGGCGGGACGAGGCAGATGGTGGCGCGCCCCTCCCCGCGCCCCCGCGCCCCTTTCTCCCGCGGCGGCTGCAGCCTTCCGGAACAATGTCATTTTTTTATGAATGAAAGTGGGCCCGGCGCTTGAATGTGCGTGTCATTCAGCGGCGTGACAGAGGCCGTCCGGAGGTCAGCGCGCGCTTTTAGCGCCTGCTCCGACGGCCCAGCTTCCAGGGCGCCGAATAGGCGGCGGTGGGGGAGCCGCATTAGCATGCGCATTCAGATAAAGATATTACTCCCTATGCCCGGGAATGTCAGCGAGCCGAGAGAGGGGCGGCGAGGGGCGCCCGGCCCGCTGCTGGACCCCGCGGCTCGGACGCACGGTGGCCTCCCCGCACGGGCCCTTGCGCGCCGGCAGAGTGCGCACAGGCTCGCTGCTCCTGGCGCCCGCGCGGGGCGGTACCCCCGCCCCCTCACTAGAGCTGGTGGAACAGGTAGGGAGTTGATAGGTCAATAAACTTAATCCGGTGCCTTAACGAGATGGGCCAGCAGTAAAAATACAAAGACCTCGTGAAATTTACAGAGGTCCCGGCTGGTGCTTTCTCCGGGAACATAAATTATGGAGATGGAGCCAGGTAGGGTCAAGGGCAGTGGGGAAAGCTTTAGCCACTGGACTGCTCTGGCCACCTCAGGCCCAGCAAGGGCAACCTCCATCCTGCCTCCTTGCTGGACCACGTTCTCTGGGGAGGCCCGTAGGAGGTCGGGAGGTTAACCCTACCCCAGCTAGGAGCCACCTCGTGGGAGTGCGGGTCTTTCCCCAGAAACTGGGTCCTGGCTCCAGCCTCCCCCACTGCTCCTGGGCCCGGCTGGACTTTGAGCCCTGTAGGCCTCTGGGTGGTTCATTAACCCAGGCTAATCCTCTGCCCTCCCAGCCCTTGTATTGTGACTAGGAGCCCCCTTGTCACCCACACCCCCTCCTTGTCTTCAGGTCTCACTTGGGACTGGAACCGATTGTGGGTGCTTCTTTTATAGTTGAGTCTAGAAGGGAACCAAAGGGCTTGAGGTCTTTGGGCAAGGTGGCCTAGGGTCTGCCCAAGGGTTAGGGGACCTGCTTGGGCTCAGGGAAGAGCAGGGGTCCGTCAGGCCTTAGTCATTTAGGAGAAGCTGTGAGCCAGCCCCCTTTTGTTTGAGGGGGTGTATGCCTAGACCTTCAGGCTGCCAGCTGTGGGGCCAGGTTCAGGGTACCTTCCTGGAACCTCAGGCTTCTCACCTGTCCCAGAGGACTGAGGATGGAGGACCGATAATGGCAGGATTGTTTTGAGGATTAGCCTGGATAATCCCCATAAGCCCTCATTAGCCCACCCGGTCTCCGGATCCCTTTTTTTCCCCCCTGACTTTGTTACGAAACTTTGCGGAATGTCTCCGGGTGGGATGGGAGGGGAAGTGGAAAGCCAGACCTTTGCTTTGCCTTCAGGGTCCCTTGGGGCACTGCCCTTCTTTTAGGCTACCTTAACCTCATACCTGGCAATGTCTCCCATACCTGGGCTTCAGACAGTGTCCTGGGCCAAGCCAGAATGCTTAGCTCCCCCGAGCTTGGGGTGGCTGGCTTTAGAATCAAGTGTGAATTTGATGCTAGTTCTGCAGGGTGCATTGGGCCCCCGCTGTGGCGATTCAGCACTAGGAGAATGGTTTCTTGGGCAGGAGCCATGACCCTCCTCAGCAGGCTGGCTTGGCTGTAGCCTGGGGCAAGACACCCAGGCAGAAATGCCCCTCACCCCCACCCCTCTTCACCAGCTCCAGCATGTGAAGGTGGCCTTTCTGGGTCCCCAGGCCTATAGGGTTGTATTTTTGAATTGGGTCACAGTGGTGGGAACTGAGGCTCAGAGACGGGGAGACCCCAGGCCCAGCATACCCTGCCCCCAGAACACATGCTCCTCCAGCTCTGACAGTGAGCTCTCTTTGGTTTGAGGTGCTCTGGCTGGGTTCAGCTCTGTGGGACATGGGGACACTAGGTGCTGTGAGGCCTATGTGGCAGACATCATCCCCACAGGCACAGCAGGAGCACCAGGGCTAGTGTGGGTGCAGGTGGTTCCTTGTTGATGAGGAAAGAACCTTCCTGCCTCCTGGTGAGCATGGGGGCCAGGCTGGGGCATTTGGGGGCTCTGCTGCTGCCTCCCCAGGAGGAGATAGTGTCCACTCAGGCCAGACACATATTGTCTTTCCCTTGGCATCTCCCTGCCAGACTCTCTTAACCCAGTCCCTGCAGGTCAGCCCCAGGCCCCTATGGGCCCTGGAATGTGATCAAAGGAGGTGGAGACTCTGTTGCCTGAGGTCGCTCTGTTGTCTCTGGCCTCTCCTGGCACCCTGCAGCAGGGTGGATGGGCAGGTCAAGGGTCAGCGATGGCTGAGTGCAGGGCCCCTTCCCTTCCCATCTTACACCAGCAGCCATCTGCATGACCAGCCTGGGGCTCTTCCGGGTCTCCTCCCAGTTCCTCTCACTGGACCAGGTTGAAGCAAATACTTGTGGGGATGGCTTGACCTGCTGTCCTTGCCCAGACCAAACCGGAACCAACTGGCTATTGCCTTTGGCCCAGGCCTGAAGCTGAGGCTACTACCAGCCTGTCCTTGGCCTTCTGGGGGGCCTCAGCAGCTCCAGTACTGGGTGGTCCCCACAGGACATGGCAGCAGGGATGGAGGGCTGGAGGTCAGGCCAAGAGCCCACCTGACTGCGGGCCCACCAGGGCTAGCCTTAAATTGTGGTTCCCTGTGGGATGCAGGCTCCCATAGGTATTTCAGGGGCTGAGCGGGTCCTTTTGGCTGGATCCCATGGCCCTGGGTGTGTGGGACACGCAGAGTCATGCCTTTCCGGGGAGCCAGGGACTGGTGTGGCCAGAGTGGGCAGCTGGGCCTGGAATCTAGGCCACGCGTCGGCAGAATGACAAGTAATGGTGCAGCGTCCAGCTGGCTAGGAAAGGTCTGCCTAGCAGGACCACCCGCCCATCCTGGGCCCCAAGCCCAGCTGCCCCCATGCAGGCATTGTATGCCCTCGCAGGGAGGCCTGGGGGGTGATGGTCAGCTCTGCTGGTGGTGTGTCCCTGGTCTCAGGCCTGGGGACCCATCAGCAGCTAGGCAGTCCCTGGGCAGGAGGCCAGAAGCCACCTTTGCATACCTGCCTGGTGCTGAGCTCCCACCCCAGGCTTTCAGCCCTCAGGGCAGGGCCCGGGCTCCTCACCTGCCCTAGACTTCAGCTCTGAGCACTCACCTGATGGCTAGACTGCTTCCCCTCCCTGTCTGTGGCATCTGTGAAGCGGGGTCCAGGCCCCATGCAGGCAAGAGCCCAACATCAGCCACTCTCCTGGGCCTACCCAGGCTCCCTTGTACCTCGAGGGCTGCCCTTGTACCCAAGGCTGTGTGGAGCTGTGTGGAGTGGAGGGGCTGCCACTAGCCAGTCCCACTGCAGCTCTCTTGCCTGGCCACCTGGGGCGGGGCTTGCCTTGCTGGCTGCAGCCACTGCCTTGCGCCTTGCGTGGAATAGGACCCATCCGACCTACTGACCTGCATTTCCTTCCTTCTTATTTCTGGGGCAGGGGCTGGTCCCTGGCTCTCCATATACACTGCTTTATTTTTATCGTTTTAAACTTTAAAATTTGTTCTAATTAGTTATTCATGACAGTCGGATACATTTTGACACATTGTACACAAATGGAGCACAATGTCTCCTTCCTCTGGCTGAACTTGGTGCAGAGTCACACCAGTAGTATGATCATACATTTATATAGGGTAATAATGTCCATCTCATTCCACTGTCCTTTGTTGAGGGCCACAGCTGAGTGGAGTTGGGGTGGCACCTGGCATTTTGCCAGAGGGAGTGGTTGAGAGGTGACTGCCAGCGAGCCATTGAGATGATGATGGTTAAGTTAAGCTGTGTATTCAATTGTATATTAGACCCCTGCTGTCCACCTAGACCCCTGCTGTCCGCCCCTGCTACTTTTGAGTTTTCGCGGGGATTCCTGGGGAGTTCGAGGGAGTTCGTTGGTTGGTGAAGGCCCCGTGGAGGGAGTTCCGGTTGGTGTGTGGTGTCCCTGGAAGGGAGTTCGGGGGAGTTCGGAAATAAAGTTTGTTTCTGCTTGAGTGGCTCGTGATTTGTGCCCAGCCAGACTGCGGCAGTCCTTCCCATCTCTACCCCCTCTTTGCAAAACCCAAAGTCCCTTCAATCCCCAGCTCCTCATTATGGATTAGCACTTGCTTATCAGAGAAAACCTTTGGCCTCTGTTTTTTTGGGTTTGGCATGGTATTCTCCAGCTCCTCTGAACTGCTCTTGAAGCTGCGGTGAGGGCTGTGGGTGAGGAGAGGGCCTCCTTGGGAATTGCTGCATCCCTTCCTCTGAGCTTTATTTTAGCCAGATGTTGATGTAGTGTTGCTTGTCCTCCCTGCTTTTGTGCTGGTGGGCCCAGAACGGATTTTACATTTCCAAATGGTAGAAAAATCAAAAGAATAACACTTAGTGGCACTTTCTTCTCCCCCGGCATTGGGATCAGACCCAAGGTGAATGCACACTAGGCAAGTGCTCTGTCACTGAGTCACACCAGCCCCCTTTGGAATACTTTGAAATTAGAATTTTCAGCGTCCGAAAGAAATTTTATTGGAGCACAGCCATGCCCAGCCACTTAGGGATTGTCTTTGGAAGGCAGCTTTTGTACCCCAGCGCAGAGTCGAGTCCTTGGAACAGAGACTGGTTGGCAGAACCGAGAGAGTTGATTCCCCTGGGCCGATTAGGGGAGGTTCTGGCCCCTGATTTGAGTGTTATCTGGCAGGACGTTGGCTCTGGAGACAGACCCTCCTACTCAGGACCTCTGTAGCTGTGCTGGGTTGCTGTGCTGGGTTGCTGCGCAGGTGCTGGGCGCAGGGTGTCTGATCCCAGGCTTCCCTCAGTGCTGCCTTTTCACCCACAGAGGTCCCAGGGCCTGAGCCTGGCCAGCAGGAGCAGCTGGTCTTTGGGAGTGGGGACACCATGGAGCTGAGCTGTGACCCACCCGGAGGTGGTCCTGTGGGTCCCACGATTTGGGTCAAGGATGGCTCGGGACTGGTGTCCTCAGGCCGTGTCCTGGTGGGGCCCCAGCAGCTGCAGGTGCTAAATGCCTCTCATGAAGACACTGGGGCCTACAGTTGCCGGCAGCGGCTCACACAGCGCGTGCTGTGCCACTTCAGTGTGCGTGTGACAGGTAAACCCTGTGGGTGTGCGGGCCGGGGGCGGGGGGCGTGGCTGGCAGGGCAGTGAGGCCAGGGCCAGCTCCGGCAGTGTGGCTGCAGCAGCCCTGCCCCTGTAGGGCACCTGGCTGGGGGCAGCTGCGCCCACTCACACTCCTCCTGTACTGCAGATGCTCCATCCTCTGGAGACGATGAAGACGGGGAGGATGTGGCTGAGGACACAGGTGAGACCAGGGGCTGGGCACTCAGGGCCTGCTTCCCTCTGCCCAGCCCTGGCCACCATGGGCAGGCGAGACGCCTCACTAGGCCTGGGGGATGACCTCTGTGGTCCACCAGGTGGCTCTGGATGCTTGGCTCTGAGCTCCAGGTGGCCGTGGGGTGGGAGAGACCCATGCTCACATGGGGAGGCTTGATACAGCGTTCTGGAGAGGCGAGGCCAGGTCTGGCCCATGGGGACTTGGGGTTGGTTCTGGGTGAGGGGCTGTCCCAGTATGAAGATGGCTGAGGGACAAATGTGCCCAGGGATTGAGAGCCCCTGGGGTGACTGTCACACTACAGCAGGAGCAGGTGGCTGTGCCGGGGTGTTTCAGTGTGCAGCTGTGCGTGTACAAGGTGTGTCCCTGGGGCAGACAGCAGTGAGGTCCCTGTGAGCAGCAGTCACCTCCCTCCTTGGTCCTGGACCTGCTGCCTCCCTTGTGGGGGGCAAGGCCCAGCATCCTAATGGGTCTGGACAAGAAGGCAGCACCGGTGCCCCCACCCCCATCCCAGAGAAGGAGAAAACCCAGTGGGGGTTGGAGGTGGTGGCAGTGGCCCTGGGCACCAAGGCAGGGAGGAGCAGAACCTCCAGGCTGCCATCCTTGCAAGGCACTGCAGAGGCCTGGGGGCTGACATGGCCTGGCTGCTTCCCCTGCTCTGCATACTCCATTTCCTCCTCCTAGAAACCATGTCCAGGGCTCAGGGCCTGCTGGGCTGCTGGCTGGGTCTTGGGCCTCCCTCAGGTGGCTGCCTATCCCAATGTGCCCTCCTGGTAGGGGCCTCCCTGGACATGCCCCCAGGCCAGAGCCTCTCAGCAAGAGCAGCCTCTTGCGGGGAGTAGACATGGCCCAGTCTGAGGGTGTCCAGTCCACAAGAAGGACCCAGAAAGGCCACCACACCCCAAACAGGAGGGGAAACAGGCTAGAGGCTTAGCAGGAGCCAGCTTTGGAAGGAGTGAGGTGGACCTCTCCTCCCTGTCTCCATTGTGGCCTCACATCCACCTGCACCCACAGGGGCCCCTTACTGGACTCGGCCAGAGCGGATGGACAAGAAACTGCTGGCAGTGCCGGCTGCCAACACGGTTCGCTTCCGCTGCCCAGCTGCTGGCAACCCCACTCCTTCCATCTCCTGGCTGAAGAACGGCAAGGAGTTCCGAGGGGAGCATCGCATTGGGGGCATCAAGGTGGGCCCAGGGCAGGTCTGGGGGCCTGGCAGGACAGGGCCTGCTGCTGCTGCTGCTCACCAGCCAGTCACATGTCACCTGCAGCTGCGTCATCAGCAGTGGAGCCTGGTCATGGAGAGCGTGGTGCCCTCCGACCGCGGCAACTACACCTGCGTGGTGGAGAACAAGTTTGGCAGCATCCGGCAGACGTACACTCTGGACGTGCTGGGTAAGGCCAGCCGGGCCTGGGACTTGGCTGGGTGGCAGCCAGCCAGGGCAGCCGAGCCCCTGACCAGCCTGCTGACCCCTCTGCAGAGCGCTCCCCGCACCGGCCCATCCTGCAGGCGGGGCTGCCAGCCAACCAGACAGCCGTGCTGGGCAGCGACGTGGAGTTCCACTGCAAGGTGTACAGTGACGCACAGCCCCACATCCAGTGGCTCAAGCACGTGGAGGTGAATGGCAGCAAGGTGGGCCCTGACGGCACGCCCTACGTCACCGTGCTCAAGGTGGGCACCGCTACGGGGGCTCGGCCAGGGTGGGAGCCTCTGGAGGAAGGTGGGGCTCGGGGCCACAGTGGAGCCTGTGGCCCTGTTTGCTCTGGGTTGGCCTCGGCATTCTGGAGCCCCACAGCTTGGAGCTGGCCGGCAGGAGGCCTCTGGGTAGGCTTGAGCTCAGGTGACAGTGATGGTGGCCCAGGGCAGGAGGCAGCTGCTGAGCCTCCCAACACCCTCGAGGACCTCACACCTGGACAGCCACTCCCCGAGCTGGCCTAGGTGGCTGTTGCCAGCTGCGTGGTGTGGCACCGCTCGCCACCCGCTGCCTTTCCTTGCCCTAGCTTGGTTCCCATGGCTGCTGCGGGGTGGGGGCCACCCGAGTGGGGATGGTTGCAACACTGGAAGCCCAAAGAGAAACATCTGTTCGGAGATAAGCAGCCTGTGGGGGTGGGGCGGCACTTGGAGCAGGACGGGAGCCAGAGTCCATAGAGCTGGGACAGGCTGCGGGGCCCTGTCCCATGGCGTGGGCATGTGGGAGCATGTGTGCCCTCAGGAGCGTGCGTGCCCTGGGCCCAGCCAACCCTCTGGGCCTAGTCGGCGGGGGGGGGGCTGGCTGAGGGGTCTGGGCTCTGGGTGGGAGTTTGGATATGGAGAAGGCGCATCCTGTGAAGCCACAGCCCAACACCTGCGGGTCTTGGCGCCTCCTCTAGGCAGCCTGCGGGATGGCGCAGCCCAATCCCCTGCCTTCCTTGGGGCTCTCCTGCCTCCTGCCTGGTGTCCAGCTGGGCTTCCTGGGGTGTGCCTGAGCCAGGTCTCTTGTCCCCGCAGTCCTGGATCAGTGAGAATGTGGAGGCGGACGCGCGCCTCCGCCTGGCCAATGTGTCGGAGAGGGACGGGGGCGAGTACCTCTGTCGAGCCACCAATTTCATAGGCGTGGCCGAGAAGGCCTTTTGGCTGCGTGTTCATGGGCCCCGAGCAGGTAACAACTCTGTCCCACGCCTGCCTGGCACGCCGAGCTCCAGCTCCAACGCCCCGGCCCTGTGCCTGCCTGCACGCCCCTGCACGCCCCCTCCTGCTCCCTCCACCTTATGGCCGCACTCCGCTTGTGGCCAGCCTGGCAATGCTGGCAGCCCAGGCCCACGACTGAATGCTGGCTTCAGACTCCTGGCCTGTGCTGACCCCTCCTATACCCGATGTGCACCCCCAGAAGGTCCTCAGAGCCTGTCAGGGGCTGAGTCCCATACGGAGCATCCACTCTTGGCCTCTCTTTGGCCACTGACTCTGCCTGCTCGCCTTCTGCTGTCCATCTGTCTGTCTGTCCACCTGTCCTTCATCTGCACCTCTCCTCTCTGCACTAACCCTGCATGCTGCCTTTGAGCGGTGCCATGCTGCCCGCCTGCCTGACACTCAGCTGGGACAGAGGACTCGCCGGTGGAGGGACTGGCTTCAGGCTCCATGCCAGTGCCAGAGCACAAGGCGGAGGGCCCTGGGCCGTGGCCGTGGCCGGCCGTGGTGGTGGCCAAGTGGTGGTGGCAGTGTTTTCCTTGCAGCCTGGCTGGATCGTCGCTGTGTGGACTCTGCCGCGGTGCCCGTGGGCGGTGCTGGCGCTCGCCTATCGCTCTGTTCTCTCTTTATAGACGGCGGGCGCTAACACCACCGACAAGGAGCTAGAGGTTCTATCCTTGCGCAATGTCACCTTTGAGGACGCGGGGGAGTACACCTGCCTGGCGGGCAATTCTATTGGGTTTTCCCATCACTCTGCGTGGCTGGCGGTGCTGCCAGGTACCTGCTACTGCTGCTAATGGCTTCGCACCTGTCCTCGGGCTGGCTCAGGATAAGTCAGAGCTGCAGGGTGGGGCAGGGCCCTGCCTGGGGCTGCCCACCACATGTAGGCCTCATGCCCGGCCTGGTTCCTGGCCTGGGAACATCAACCTGGCCCGTCCTGGCCCATGTCGGGCCTCCCCTGCACCCCCAGGTCCCCCTGCCCTGCTCTGGCTTCAGCATTTCCGGGTGCTGGGTGCAGTGGTGCTGCTGCTCTGCTGGGCTGCTTCCGTCCTGGGTCTGGGGCCTCTTGACTCCACAGACGTTCTGACTGCAGCATTTGGGCCTGTGGGGCCATGGAGGCCTCGGTCCCTAGCTCTGGTCCCCCTGGGGGCTGAGCCCTGCCTACCCCACTGGAGCTGTGGCTCTGGCCCTGGGGCTCTGGGGAGGCTGGGCCAGGCCCCAACGCCGGTGTCTTTGCAGCGGAGGAGGAGCTGGCGGAGGCGGACGAGGCTGGCAGCGTGTATGCAGGCGTCCTCAGCTACGGGGTGGGCTTCTTCCTCTTCATCCTGCTGGTGGCAGCCGTAACGCTGTGCCGCCTGCGCAGCCCTCCCAAGAAGGGCCTGGGCTCCCCCACTGTGCACACGGTCTCCCGCTTCCCGCTCAAGCGACAGGTAACAGAAAGTAGATACCAGGTTCTGAGCCGCTGCCACCCCAGCTCCCAGAGCCGAGCCTGCTTTGCCCTGGCCTTGCTGTCCCTGGGGCTGTCCTCCCCCACCCCCTCTGGCCCCCCACCCTGTCGTGCAGCACCAACCTGCCTTTACCGACCCAAGCAGGTGTCCTTGGAGTCCAACTCGTCCATGAACTCCAACACACCGCTGGTCCGCATTGCCCGGCTGTCCTCGGGAGAAGGTCCCACGCTGGCTAATGTTTCTGAGCTTGAGTTACCTGCCGACCCCAAATGGGAGCTGTCCCGGGCCCGGTCAGTGGTGGTGAGGGATGACGTGCAGATGCCTGGGGCCTGGCAGGGATTCTGTGGTGGGTGGTGGGACAGTCACTGTGTAGAGGCCCAATTGACTTTAGACTGGAACTGGGCTGGACACAGTGGCTTTTGAAAACAGGGCAGCTGTTGATGCAGGTGGAAGACCCAGACCTCTCAGGGTCTCAGGGTGTGTATGTGAAGGGCATGGCACAGGGCAAGAAGCTTGAGGGTGCTGCCCTAGGCTCAGGAGCTAGGGCACAGGGTAAGGCTGGAGGGCTTCCTGGAGGCGTAGCCAGACCTTGAAGGCTGTGCTGGGCCAGGGTGCACCCTCAGAGCCTCTCTGCTTCCAGACTGACCTTGGGCAAGCCTCTTGGAGAGGGCTGCTTTGGCCAGGTGGTCATGGCAGAGGCCATTGGCATCGACAAGGACCGTGCTGCCAGACCTGTCACAGTGGCGGTGAAAATGCTGAAAGGTGAGAATGGAGACAGCAAGGGGCACCCGGGTGGGCTGTGAGCGCCACTGCTTGACACCCCACCTCCCGGGACAGACGATGCCACTGACAAGGACCTGTCGGACCTGGTGTCGGAGATGGAGATGATGAAGATGATTGGGAGGCACAAGAACATCATCAACCTGCTGGGGGCCTGCACGCAGGGCGGTAGGTGGGGGGCCGGCTGGACAGGGCGGGCGGCACCGTCCCTGGGCCTGGTGTCCCCTCTGAGGCCCTGTGCTTGCAGGGCCTCTGTACGTGCTGGTGGAGTACGCGGCCAAGGGCAACCTGAGGGAGTACCTTCGGGCGCGGAGGCCGCCGGGCATGGACTACTCGTTCCACACCTGCAGGCTGCCTGAGGAACAGCTCACCTTCAAGGACCTGGTGTCATGTGCCTACCAGGTGGCGCGGGGCATGGAGTATCTGGCATCCCAGAAGGTGAGTGGGCAGGAGGCACAGGCCTTCTGGGCTGAGGGGAGGGTGACAGACCTGCTGGGGTGGAGACCCAGGCCAGGGCATCGCACAGCGGGGCAGAGGCGAGGAGATGCCAGGAGGCTCTGCTCATCCCTGGCCCCTGCTCCAGTGCATCCACAGGGACCTGGCTGCCCGCAACGTGCTGGTGACTGAGGACAATGTGATGAAGATAGCCGACTTTGGCCTGGCCCGTGATGTGCACAACCTCGACTACTATAAGAAGACCACCAACGTGAGCCTGGCCCCGGGTGGGCGGGGGCTGGAGCCAGAGGTGCCTGGCAGCTAACACCTGCTCTTGTGCTCCTAGGGCCGGCTGCCGGTGAAGTGGATGGCCCCCGAGGCCCTGTTTGATCGGGTCTACACCCACCAGAGTGATGTGTATGTGCACCTAGCGGGGAGCAGGGAGCCAGGGACAGAGCAGACTCCGGTGCTTCGCACACAGCCCTGGGGCAGTGCGCTCTGCACTCCTTTGCTCAGCCGCCTCCCCTCGGCCCTTGGGCTCTCTAGTCCCTGGTGGCAGGTGTTGGGGTGGGGCTGCGGAAGGACTGGGCCCTGGGATCGTAGGGCAGACTGGCTTGTCTCACTTCTGCAGCTGGTCCTTTGGGGTCCTGCTCTGGGAGATCTTCACCCTGGGGGGCTCGCCATACCCCGGCATACCCGTGGAGGAGCTTTTCAAGCTGCTGAAGGAGGGCCACCGCATGGACAGGCCAGCCAACTGCACACACGACCTGTGAGCACAGCATACTCCACGGGCCCCTGGGGGTTCCTGCTAGGGCCTGGGCGCAGCTCCCGTGGTGGGTGGGGGGCTGGTAGACCTGTGTTTGCAAGGTGGACCAGGCTGAAGGGCTGGGCCTGAGCAGCCTCGCCCCCAGGTACATGATCATGCGTGAGTGCTGGCACGCAGTGCCCTCCCAGAGGCCTACCTTCAAACAACTGGTTGAAGACCTGGACCGCATCCTCACCGTGACGTCCACTGATGTGAGTGCCAGCCCCCTTCTGTCCCCCACGTGGCTGCTCTGCTTCCCCTTGGGAGTGTCCTTGGGGACAGTCTGAGCACAGCTGGGGTGGGGCTCATGCAGGACACAGTACTGACTGGTTCCGTTCCCGGCAGGAGTACCTGGACTTGTCAGTGCCCTTTGAGCAGTACTCACCAGGTGGCCAAGACACCCCCAGTTCCAGCTCCTCAGGGGACGACTCTGTGTTTACCCATGACCTGCTGCCCCCGGCCCCACCCAGCAATGTGGGCCCTCGGACGTGAAGGGCCCTTGGCCCTTAGGCCAAGCCCCATCAATGTGAGAGTGGATCCCAGCCTACAGTGCTGCTGCTGGTGTACAGTGGACCCGGGCCCAAACCCAGGATGGATGGGCAGATGGACATAGATGTTCGTGTGTGTGTGTGTGTGTGTGTGTGTGTGTGTGTGTCTGGCGGCCCCCGGGTGCAGAGGTCTCCTGGGGCCTGCGCTGCTATACAGTGATCTCCTGACTCACCACTGCCAGGAGCACCAAGGGACCCTTGTTTTGGGGGACCAAATATGGAATGTAAGAGTGCCTGGTCCTTCACCACCACCCCATAAGAAGCATCACAGGCCAGGCTGGACCCAGTGTCCACAGTGGGCCTCAGGCCCTCCAGTGCCCAAAGCTGAGCTGCGGGGATGCCCTCTGTGGCAAGGCTCCGGAGTGGCACCTTGTGCCTGGGGGTGAGTGGCAGCTTCCCCACCTCCAGGCCTCCCCACTTCCCACCCTGCCCCTCTAAGACTGAAATTACGGGTATCCGAAGGTGGGAGCCTCTGCCTTCTATCCGAAAGTTTTATTCCAGAAATGAGTGTACATTTATATAAATAGATGCTGTGTATATGATATAAATACATCCATACCTGTAAGAGTATCTGTGTGGAGGGAAGGAATGCTGCGGGGTACAGGGGGCATTGCCTGATGGGGGAGGCCCCTTGAGGCTTGTTCGGGAGGCAGATGCAACACAGGGGAGCAGCAGGCTTTTCTGGCACCGCAGTTTTGTTTTAAAAATTGTACTTGGACCCTGTATATTTGTAAAGCTATTTATCAACCCCCAGAACCCTTGCACCCCACCCATGTTCACAGCATTTAGCCAGCACGTGGCAGAGAGTAAAGTCTTAACTTATTAACAGCCATGGCTTAGCCAAGTTACCAGGCTGCAGAAGCACCTGCAGCTGCACCGGAGGCTGAGCCTCGACGGCAGTCGGCCAGAGGGCCTCCTTGAGCTCGTGTTTCCTCTGGCCTCCTTTGCAGGGGAACTAGCTTTCTATAGGAGCTTTCTCTAGGAGATTTATTTTTTGTACTTCAAAGCGAGCTGGTATTTTCATACAGATTCCAATTGCTGCATGTTCCGGGTGGGGGCCACGTCCGGGGGGGAGGGGCTGGCCCTGCTTACAGGTTCAGATGTTATTAGATGCTACAGGTTTATATATATCTATATATGTAATTTATTGAGTTTTTACAAGATGTATCTGCTGTAGACTTAACACTTCTTACGCAATGCTTCTAGAATTTTACAGCCTGGACTGCTACCTTTCAGAACTTAGGGGAGAGAAAGCCGTGAATTCAGTTCTGTTACTTTGTGTACCGTTAATGGGCCCTAAGCTTGGGTGGCTGTCTCTTGCTGGTCGCTGGTGGCTCAGGGCCTGCTGCAGTGGCCAGAGGTGTGGCTCATACTGGGGAGTGATTGTCAACCAGCAGATGTACTTTCCGGACAATAAAGAGAAAGGCCTGGTCCTAGTCCCTGCCTGTGCCTCTTGCCTTCTGCTGGGATCTTGGCAGCTCTGTCCTACTTCCTGTCAGGGACAGGTTCTGTTCTTTGTTCCCAAGCAAGGGAGGGCCCACTAGCCACTGAGGGAACAGTAGTAGCCCGGGTGGTCCCCAGATGGAGGTGCAGGTCTCCTCAGGCTGAGGGGACTGGCCATCCAGGCTATGCCTTCAGAGGGTCTGCAGCCCAGGCTTCTGGCTCCCACACCTGGAAATGTGAGTCCTGGGTAAAGGGACCTGACCCCAGCCAGCAGAACCTCAGGCCACGGGAGGTCTGGAGGCTCCAAGAGCAAGGAGGCTTCATCAGGCAAGTTGGAATTTTCAGGAGGGGCCCTGGTGGGTGTGAGGAGGAAGCTTTCTGGCTCTGCAGAGCTCCCTGGCTGCCACCCCTCCTGAGGGCTATGGGTCAAGGGATTACGTCTAGGCACTTGCAGCTAAGGCCTTTCCCACATTACCCCACTCACTATGTGGGTTCCCACTTAAAGATGTAGATGAGCCTCTTGATTCAAACCCTGCACACTGGTGGCCACACCCCTATTCCTGACCACCTTCCCTCCTGGTCCAGGCCTGCTACCCACCACCACCAGGGCTCCACTGGTGCCATGACCCCGTGACCCTGCAGTGACTACTTTGGCTGAAGCTGTGCTTCTGGCCTCAGCTGGTTGGGCAGCTCCCTGGCCACAGAACACCTGGGCTGCTTCTGAGTCCCCAGGAGCCTGTTAAGTCAGTACCCCTTGTTGCTGCTTGGTGGGCCTTGACAACTGGGGTACACAGGGCTACCCACAAGTGGGGAGTAAGCCTGGGACGCCTTCCTAGAGGAGACAGGAGAGGGCTGTTGCGCCCATCCCCCACCCTCTGGTCTAGGCCAGATGGCGGCACTGGATGCACTGGAGCTGAGCTGGTGCACTCTCTCTCAGGCTCTGCTTTCTGCTGGTCCAAGTGGGCCCTCCAGATGAGGGAGCTGGATAGGTGAGGCTACTAGGTCTTGGGTCTGATTCAGGGAAGCACTGTAGTCTGGGGGCAGGCTGCCTGCCAGTGACCTCACAAGGAGAGCCAATCCTCCAACCCCCCAGAGTCCTGTCCAGAGACCCCATGCTGGGAACAAGGACACTGGACTGGCCATGGGGACACCTTGGACTGACCAGGACTGGGAAGCAGAGGTCAACTGGATGAGGACTGCTGAAGTTCCAGCCTGGAGGGCAGTGAGGGGGTGCCAGGTGGGCTTGGGCCAGAGGCACTGCTGTCCCCCAGCTGGGCTTAGCATTCTTGCCTGGGTAGGCAGAATGTGAGTGGGGCGCCCCCTGGTGCTGCACTGCACCCTGTTGCTGCCCTGAGGCCCCTCTCCAGCCTGTGCCCTGGTGAACCCCATAGGCTCTTGGGAAAGGGGGCTGGCCAGGGGAGTTGGGGCAGGCCAGGAGCCTGCTCAGGTGACTCACACCACTGCTGGCCACAGAAGGAGGATACTAGACAGTCATGAAGCTTCCTGTGGACGCCTCTGCCCAGTGAAGGAACCCCTTTTTGCTGCCTTGCTGGCCTCTTCTGGTATAGAACAGTCCCTTGCTTTCTGCTGATGAAAGCTATGCCTTCTGAACATGGCTGGTGGCCCCTGCGGTTGCAAGATTTTCTCAGGCCAATGCTGGGAACAGGAAGGCTCCCAGCACTGCAGGCAGCCCTGTGGCTGTCCATTTCCCAGGGCTGGGGTGGATCTCGGGTTCCCAGGGCCATCAGCTAGAATTCTTGGCTAATGAGCCTCCCCAGAAGGCTGGGAGGTCACTGTGTTCTGCATGAAGGTCCTGTTCTTAGTGTCACCTTACGCACATGAAGCACATTCTTTTCTCAGGAACCCCTGCCTGCCACCCACTGCTGGCCCTCACCTTGTTTGGGTCACTGTCTTTGCTGCAGTTGACGCCCTCTGTGCTGGCTGCTTGCCCCTTAGGTTGATGTCCACCAGCAAACACAGCCCATCCCAGCCCCAGAACAGGCACTTCTTGAATCCTAGTGCCCTGTTGTGGTCCCTGGACTTGGGATGATTCATAATGGTGTACAAATAGGCTCCGGCCCAGGCTTTGTCCCTGGACAACTCTCCTGAGGTGCGCAAGGCTGTCCAGCTCAGGCTGTGTCCCAGGACACAGACCCCAGGGCCAAGGGGTCTAGGGAGGCCCCCAGCAGTGGACCCAAGTGTAAATGCTGAGATAGGCTGGTGCCCTTGAGCTCGGGGTGGGGTGCCGAGACCTTCCTCCAGCCAGGCCACCCCAAGGCAGGGATCTAAAGATGGGGCTGCAGTGTGAAGACAGCCCCTACCTTCCTGGGGATCCCCTTGGGTAGGGTTGGGCCCCTTGATCCTCCTGGAGCACCCCTCGCAATGGTCCAGCCCTCACCCACTCAGGATACCAGGACCACCAGTCTCAGCCAGGAACAATCTGGGTACAGGGTGCCTTGGCTCTCAGGACTCCCTGAGGTCTGTGGGTTGGGGAAGGCTTCCTTAGGCAGCGAGTTCACCAACCTAGACAAACCAGCCCACAGCAGACAATCATCAAGTGGCACTTTATTATATCATTTCATCACATCGAATGGTGTCTGAAACATCACCACATAACCTGTCAGTGTCATAGGACAAGGGGACATGGGTCTCAGAGGTCCCACAAAGAAGAGGCCTGAATCCAGGGCCTCAAAGGACACAGCCTCAAAGGACAAAGGCTCCTCTGGAATCTTGAGTGTTGGGCCCACAGTGCCGTCATGAAGGCAGACACTTAAGACGGCTGAGTTTCCATCTGACTTATGTCAAATGGTTCAGAAATATTACAGGAGCACAGCCTTGATGTTTTAATAAAATAAAAATACCATTTCTACAAAAAGTGTTTACACAGAGTCCCGGCTGGGGGCCCATGGGACCCTGAAAGGATGACAGAGAACTTGCTCCCCCATTACGTTCCCAGGAGGAACCACCCTGCTGGCCAGGGGCACAATAAGAACCACCTGGGGGCTGCTTTTCAGAAATTACACGTTTAAAAAGCTACACTGTGATATTTCAATGGCCTCCGGATGCCACACACTGGTTCCCAGTGCCTGCATGAGAAGTGGGTGTGTAGGGCGTGAGGAGGGCGCATCGAACTGCTGTGCTGGGAACTCTGCTTCACAGGCATGGACACCCCAGCTTCAAGAAACACAGGAAGGTGGAGTGCTCAGGTGCAGGGCAGGCACAACCTGTGGACAGCTAGACACAGCCACCATGGCAGGTCCTCATCGTACAAGGCCCTGGCTTCTAGATCCATCATTCCTTACAACCACACCCAGACACCGACTTGGCTACAATAAATAAGATTCCGTACAACAAAACACATCCAGAATGGCATTGGGGATAGGGCCTGCAAACACCACATGTGCACCCACCAGAACCTCCCACCCATACGTGTGCCACCACGCAGGTCCGAATGGCACCTGGAGGCGCGCCCACATCCCAAGGCGCTGCTTGACCAGGGAGGGCAGACTCCAGAGCAGAGGGGATGACAATACTGGCAAAGCCACGCAGGACGAGGATACAGCTGATGGGCCCATAGTGCTGCTCACAGGAAAGACGTCCCTCCTGTGGGGCACATTTGGCAACCAGAGCTTGTCCTCAAAAGGAAGGACACTGACAGCTCAGAGGCTGCTGGAGTGTGGGCAGGTGACTCATAAAGATCACTCCAAGGCTAAAACACTCCCTTCTCCAACGCCTGAAAACAAGCCCTTCAGAGCCCCATGGCTTCTGACTGTGTCTCCAGGTGAGACTGTACAACTGGATTCCTATTCTGTCAAGTTTCTTCTTTAAAGGCCAAGGAAAAAGCCAAGTAACTGAGAAACTGACATCTCCGAGTGCTGCAACCCCCTCCCTGGCTAGCTTGGCTTCATGGGTCCTATGTCTGGAGCCCTCCAGAAGGGCACTCTTGCTGGCAACACACAGCCTCAAAGGACAAGTGCAGCTGTTGGGGGAGCAGGAAGGTGGAGAGGCCACAGGACACCCAGCTCTGGCCTGCCCACATGGAACTGTCCCCGACAGGGCCACCAAGTGTGAAGAGGCTGCTGGCCACCAGAGCCCTGGAGACACCACCCCGCCCCTAAGTACATGGGGGGCACACTGCAAGCCCCTCAAGATGCCACTGCTCACTCACATGACCACCTTCATAGGACTTGGTGGGGCCATGTAAAGGCTGAAGGGCAGAGACCATCTGGGTGCCCTGGCCCAGGAGGCCAGCTGTGGGCGATGGCCCCTCCAGCCACGTCCTCCAGTGGGCAGGGTTTGTTCCACAAGGGAAGCCATCAAGGGCCCCACATGTGCTCCCAGAGAACCTGCTCCAGCCAGGCTGTGGTGAAGGCCTAACCCTTGGACCCCAACAGTGTGGCAATCACCTAGCAAATGATTCCTTCTCAAGGGCTGCACTGGTGTGTCTCCCCCGCAGTTCATTCTGGATGTTACTCCTGAGTCAGACTCTCAAGTGCAGAGATCCTGTACTAGTCAGTTAAGGACGGGGAAGACCGAAGGTGAATCAAGAGCGAGCTCAGGAAACACACCCCAGGATCCACTCAAGACATGGACACTACTGTCAGGAGAGGTGCTACTTCCAGAGGCCACTGAAGTCACAGACGCTTCTGTCGAGAAGAGTCACACAAAGATGACTTTGAAAATGTGGGAACAGACGATCTATTTACACAGATTTTTAGGAATCAAAGTTCACAGACCAGCTGAAGGATCTTCAGAGCTGAGGAGGGCTGTGCTCGTGTCTGATTCTTGCCCAGCACCTCGGAAAACATGAGGTGCACCTGCCCAGTTCCACTTGGGCGTTGGGAGTCCACGTGGTCCTCACTTTCAGGGAACAGAGAGCACAGGTCAGGCCCTGAGATGGCACAGGCACGTGCAGGGAGGCACCCCTGCTGCGACTGTCGGTGGCCTCTGTGGGGCCACTGAGTACTACACTAGGTGAGTCCAGACACAACTCCCTGGAGGCTCCCAGATTGCAGACTGACTTAATCTTCATGGAATGATGAAAATTAAAAATTACTTGATTACAGAAGTTTCTGATTTATTCCAGACAAAATATTAGATCTGCCACTAAGATCACCTCAAAGCAATCACTCTCACATCATCCCACCGCAGCGGTGCGGGAGGAAGAGGACGCCCACGGGGCTGTGCGTGAGCTGGGCACCTCCCTTAGTTCTTCACCTCTGCAGCCTCCTTCTCAGCCTTGCCCTTGGCCTTCTCCTTCTCTTCCACCTTCTCCTCCTTCTCCAGCACGGCCACAATCTCAGCCACCTGGCTAGTGGAGATGTGGACATCTTCTTTATCCACCAGCTCGATAACCTGTGCACAAGAGAGGGCTCAGAGGGGCTGCCTGCTCTTGCACAGCACGGGTGGGAGCACCCCTGCTCTAGGCCATCTTCTGGTTTGGAACCTACTTGCTGCACAGCATGCCAGGGCCCCAGAGCACCAGGGTTCCCCGGGGAGCCAGAGAGCAGAGCAAGGCTGCTGGCATCAAGCCCTGCCCTGGCCAGCGAGGCCCCACCACACTGCTGGGGGCCTGCCCTGCATGGGGCTTCCCCAGGACACAGGGTGCTAGGTTGGGGCACATGCCCCTCTGCTCTGAAGACTGAGGAGGGAAGGAGGGACGGTGCTTAGCATGTAAGTCTGACAGTGCCTTGCTTTTAAATGGAAATAAAAGAAACTCGGCAATGTCTATGGTTATGTTTGAAAAATCACTATCTTGCCGGGTGCACCAGGACCATGAAGGCAGTGTTTTTTCAGAAGCAGAAATGATTAAGTCTCACCCCTCAGATGAGAACCCAGACTTCCCATCCAGGTCTCCAGGGCTGACCTGGGGCCCACCTGTTGTCACCTCTCAGGCCTCAGGCAACCCCAGCCGGGTGTACTCAGCCCCACTACCCTGTTTGCCACAGGTGCAAGCTCCACACTGTGGCTGGAGCAAGAAAGGCAGACACTGCCAGCCTGGAATGTGGCTGGTGTCCTTCTCTAGGATTAGCTCCTGGCTGCCCCATGCACCAAAGCCCAGCCAGGCCCAGGGTCCCACAGGCACGGCAGGTGGCCTGCTCTAAAGGGGCCTTCTCAATACCCTCTCCTGGACCTGGACGCTGCTACCTGTCAGAGCCAGCCAAGTCACGGTCATGACAGGCGACCTCAGGGCCTTCAGGAGGGTCCATCTTGCTGTTTCATCAGCACTTTCTACCTCTGGCAACTCACTTCCTATGCCAAGGCCTGAGGGACCCCACCTCCTGACAGCCCCCAAAAGCAGCCCCTCCCTGGACTTGTGGACGTTGGAGCAGAAGAGCAGCCAGCCAGCCTCCCCGATTCAGTCCCACTGAGACCCACCTTGACGAGGTCATCGATGTTGACCTTGCCATCCTTGTTTTCATCCAGTGCTGAGGCCAAGCTCACCAGCTTGCTTTCTGGAATGTGCTTGATTTGCTTCATGGCGCTGATGAGCTCAGTGACGCTGACAACATTCTCCCTGGGAAGCACAGCCTGCATGTGGCCACCATCTTGCCCGGCCCTTGGAACCTCACAGCCACACCCAGCTCCGACTCTTAGCCCTGACTCTGATGGCCACGTGTGAATTGGCGGACAGGAAAGACCTCTGATAGTGAGACTCCTCACACCTTGCCAAAAGCCCCACCCTTTCCTTGGGGTGCATGACCCTGGAGTGCATGCCTGGAACAGGACCACTGGGTCCTTGGGCCCCTGTCTGCCACAAGGACAAAAGGTTGATGAGCCTCTGGGTTCGGGGATGTGTCCCAGCTACCAGCCTGCTGCATCGCAGGGTCTGTGGTCTAGATGGTAGCAAGACACACACACAAGCACAGCTGCGGCTGCGGGAATCTGGAATACACTGTGGTACAAGGCAGACAGCCCCATGATGGCATCCCTTGAGTGTGGGGGTCAGGGAGAGGGAGGAGGCAGGAGAGAGCTTGACTGTTTGGGCAAACAGGAACCAAATGGGGCTGAGGCTGGACTATGAAGGGTAATGCTGGGGAGGGCAGTAGGGGGACTTTAGCAGGGAGGTAACAAACAGGTAAAGGAGTAAGCTACCCAGGTGAAACAGCATCAGAATGTAAAAACTCAGGTGTGAAAGAAAAAACTATGAGCAAAGATGCCCCCAGAGTGGACCCCAGCTCCCAGGTGATATCAGGCAGAGCCAAGATGTACACTCTGGAGTCAGAAAGGATAGAGCACAGATCATGGCAAAGTGCCTGTCAGCTGCAGGCTTGGCCTCCCTGGGCCCAGAAGCCTCTTCTGTTCATGCCCACTTACCCCACAGCTGAGCCCTGGGCAGGGCCCAGCTTGCCGGCCTGCTGACCCGTCTCCAGCTGTGCAATCAGGCCATCGATCTGCCCAATCATCTGCTGCACGCGCTTTGTTAGTCTCTTGCTGGCTTTAGATTCTTCCACTAATTTTTCTTCACCGGTCTTAGAAAGCTCCTTCTTAATCTCTTGCAAGTCCTAAAAAAATTATTTGCAGTTATAAAGTCTATCTTTAAGGCCGGTGGGGGCGGGAGCTGGGCACGATGGTGACGCCTGTGCGGTCCAGGCGACTCAGTAGGCTGAGGGAGGAGGGTTATAAGTTCCAGGGCAGGCCCAGCAACTTAGTGAGGTCTTATCTCAAAACATTAAAAGGGCTGGAAAGTAGCTCAGTGGTAAAATACCCCTGGGTTAAAATCAGTACAAAATAAATAAAAAAGTGGGGATCTTATATTAAATTTAACTTGAAAAAGTTATTAAACCCATTCATTTGGGCTAGGGGTGTAGAGCACCTGCCTAGCAACTGTGAGACAACGAATTTGATCCCTAGCACTGAAAAAATAAATACCAACTCCTCCAAAAATGCATTCATTCCAACAACAGAAAGTTGCAAAATCTTATTCCTTCCTACCAATCAAATAATTTTTTTTTTTTTTTTTTAAAAACCAGGGATTGAACTCACGGGCACTCAATCACTGAGCCACATCCCTACCCCGATGTTATATTTTTTAAATTTAGAGACAGGGTCTCACTGAGTAAGTTGGTTAGCGCCTCATTTTTGATGAGGCTGGGATTTTGCACTTGCAATCTTCCTGCCTCAGCCTCCTGAGCCGCTGGGATTACAGGAGTGTGCCACCGCATCTGGCTGGTTCTTATTTTTTTGAAACTCATCTTCCTTCATATTTGCTGAAGAATAAAGAAATGAAGCATTGAGGAAACTTAAGTGTTTCCCCCTGAAATTCTAATTCAGTGCCCCCCAAGGAGGGACAGGAGCGAAGAGGAGTGGGAACAAGACACCATCTCACCCAGTGACAGACGCATGGTTCCCATGGAGAAGCCCCCCAGAGGGACGATGCTCCCAAATGGCAAATTGGTTTTTACTAATCTCCAAACTTGTTACCTTTCCCAATGAAGCTGTGAAAATAATTCTTTTACATCAGATTAGAAAGTAATATCTATAAACCAATCACTAGTTGATGAAGGATGTTGCTCGGTGGTAGAGCACTTGGTAGCCTTGAGTTTGATCCCTAGCACCATAAAAGGAAGAGGGAAAAAGAACCACCATCTAAGAAAAGAAAACCGTCAACTGGGTGCCGGGTGCACACCTGTGATCCCAGCAACACAAGGCCAGAGTGTCTGTCTCAAAAATACAAAATAAAAAGAGGTCTGGGGATGTGGCTCAGTGGTAGAGCACCCTGGGCTCCACTCTCTTTGGGGGGAGTTGTGAATGAAATTACGGTTCTGCCTGTCGAGGGGCCAAGTGGCCATGTGACACCTTCATGTTCAGACTTGGCAAGGCTACATTCACGCAGACAGTGGCCCCTACAGCAGCCGTGGAAAAGCTCTGGAATAAAACTGATTTTTAGTTTAATCTAATTTTTAGTTTTAATCTGGTTTCTCTCCAGATTCCCTCTGAAATTTCCCTTATCACATCTTTGACAGATATCATTAAATCTTTTGGCTGATAAAGCTATTATTTCAGTCTCAGCCTTAGCAGCAAACACTACCCACCCCTGATGTCACCAGGGAGCAGCTGCCCCGCCCGCCCACCCATCCTGTCCACCTCATTGTAGTCCTGGACGTCCTCCTTCAGCAGCTCCAGCTCCTCCTTTTCCTTGGTCAGAGAGGACTTCTGCTCCTGCAGCTTGGAGCAAGCGTCACTGAGGACATCAATTTCTTCCTGAGTTATTTCCTCTTCCTAGGAAAAAAGCAAAACAGGTTTAAGTGAAGGGACACAGTGGCTCCTCTGTGGGGAGTTTGCACCTTATGGGCCAGTACCTGGGGTAGTCTCAACTGAGATGGAGCCCAGGTGGGGCTACACTGGCCTGAGCGTGTCATCAGGCACATTCAGCGTGACCCATACGTGTACCTATGAAGCGCACACCACTGGACAGTGAACATGCTGGTCAGCCTAATACTGGCTGGCCTCCCCAGGACTTCAATCCTCCTCATGCCCAATAAGTCAGCCTATATCTCCAGGGTTTTATATAAGAGCAGTCGCCAGCACATCCTCCTCTCTGACTCGTTCTGAGTCATCATGTGGTGTCAGTGTGCTTTTAACCCGAGCAGCTAGACCAAAGCTTGTTAGTGTACTGACCTACTGAGAGACATGTGCTTTGTTTCCTAAGCTTAGTGATTACAAATAAAGCTGCTCTGAACGCTCAGGTTCAGGCTCCTGTGGGAAAATGCCTAGGAATGGAAAGGCTGGTAATTGGTGTGGTGTAGGTTCGTCTTTTTAGGAAACTATCAAAGTAGTTTCCAAAGTGGTACAACTCCTCCACATCCTCACCAACACAGGATTGGGACAGGCCAGTTTTGTCTTCCCCCACACTGCTGGAGATGGAACCCAGGGCCTCTGCTTTCTGGGCAAATTGTCTACCACTGAGCTCCATCCCCAACCAGTCTGACTCCAACTCTGGTTGTGCTAATAGGGGTGTGGTGGCATCTCAATGTGCTTCTCCTTTCACTGGTGGTGAATGAAGCACTTCAGGTGCTTAACTGGCTAGCTGCATGTCTTCTTTGGTCAAGTGTCTTCAAATCTTTTGCCCACTTCTGAAATAAAATTATTTGTTTTTTATATATTCTAGAAACAAGTCCTTGTCAGGTAAATGTTTTACAAATATCTCACACTGTCCATGGCTGATCTTTTCACTTTCTTAAGTATTTCTTGAAGCAAAAGTCTCCAATATTGATAGATAAATATATTGATTTTTTTTCTCACCTTTATCATATTTTTTTGTTGTACTTTTATCTACTGGTAAATCTAATATCACTAAAATATTCTCCCATGTTTCCTTCGTGGAGTTTTTATAATCCTTTCTAATTTTTATACACTGTGTGAGTTATATAAGGGTCAAGGGTCAATTTTTTGCATATGGCTATCTACTGTTCCAGCACAATTTGCTGAAAGATTTCCCTTTCCCTACTACACCATCTTGGCACCTTTGTAGAAAACCTACTGACCCTGTCTGTCTAGGTGCTTACTTCTTTTCCATTGGGCCTATCTCTTTACCCGCAACATCACACCTTTTCATGTGTGGTGGTGCTGGGGAGGGAACCTGCGGCTTCATGCATGCTAGCAGGTGTGCTCCCACTGAGCCACAGGCTGGCCCCACCACACCTCTTGATAACTGAGGCTTTAGTAAGTCTTGGTGTTAGGGGATAATTATAGATGAGTGGGAATACACGGTTAAGGTTAAGGGGACAATTATATGTGAGTGGGAATACAAGGTTAATACAAGTCAGCCCACTGTGCTGACCTCCCACGTACTCTCTTTTCTATGAAGCAATTTACCTGCAGCCCTGCCTGGCCAAAATGAACAAGCTATGTCACATTTCTCAGCAAACTACATGTTAACTGCAAGAGAAATGCAGGCCCAAAATAATGTTGATAAGAGGAACCCAAGTTTTCCCAAAGGGGAAGATTTTGTGACCAAAACTTGAAACTGGGAGATAAGAGTAGTTTCTCCTAACCACAAAATCTATAAGAATGTATGGTTAAGGGCTGGGGTTGTAGCTCAGAGGCAGAGTGCTAGCCTAGCATGCCTGAGGCACTGGGTTCGATCCTCAGCACCACATAAAAATAAAGGTATTGTGTTCACCTATAACTAAAAAATAAACATTTAAAAAAAAAAATATATGGTTAAGAATCCAGTTAAAGGGCTGGGGCTGTACCTCAGTGGTAGAGTGCTTGCCTAGCACATGTGAGATAATGGGTTCAATAGCACTACACAAAATAAACAAATAAAACAATAAAGGCATTCTGTTTATCTACAACTACCAAAAAAACAAAAAAAATCCAATTAGGGTCGAGTAGTGGCTCAGTGGTAGAGCACTTGCCAAGCATGTGTGAGGCACTGGGTTCAATTCTCAGTACAGAATACAAATAAAAAAGAATCCAATTAGAACCAGTCAGCTTGGGCCAAGGTAACCTAGAGGTGCCATGACAGTGGGTACTTGAGAGTCTGATGTCATCCTGCTATCAGTCAAAAGTGGGACTCTTTGGCAACATCCCTGGGATCCCAATAAATCTCATACACTGGAGTGTATGAGAGGTATGCTACCTCTCTCCTCTCTGAGACACTCACTCTCTCCCTTCAGAGTGTCTCTTTTCCCTCTTCTTATCCCTTCAATAAACTCAGAGTAACTCCTGCTCATCTGAGTGACTTGTCTGAAATCTTTCTGACTTGATCGTGAAAACTGGGGATTCTGTTTCTCAGAAGGCCCCAGCTCTGTAACACTGGGATCTAGTAGATAGATGTTCCTCTTACTTTTGCTATTTCACAAGGATGTCTTAGGTATTTTAGATCCTTTGACTCTCTCCATAAATTTAGAAAAGTTTGTCAACTTCAATAGAAGGTTCTGCATGTTTTTTTTTAAATATTTTTTTAGTTGTCAATAGACCTTTATTTTATTTATATACAGTGCTGAAGACTCAAACCCAGTGCCTCACACATGCTAGGCAAGCGTTCTACCAATGAGCCCTAGCCGTCTGCTGTGTTTTGATGGTCTGGAGGAATTTCCAAAACAGCTGAAGGAGGATCTGCATCTCAGCAACACTGAGTCTAGTGTCGCATCTCCCTAGTTCTGTCCCAGCCGTTTCTATTTTATTTTGAGATAGGGTCTCACTATGTGGCCCAGGATGGCTTTGAACTTGCAACCCTCCTGTCTCAGGCTCAGGTAGCTGGGATCACCGATCTGGCCACCATGCCTGGCCCCAACTATCTGGTTATAATGTGCTTTCCTTCCCTAATGCCCTGGCTACAATACTGAGGAGGAGCGTGAAGGGCAGCAGTCCTGGCAATGCTCCAGTGCTGGGGAGTTGCTGGTGGCAGATGTGCAGTGGCATCCCTCTCCTCCTGCTCGGCATCTATTGATCACACTGTATGCTGACGAGCATTCTTGAAGAGGCCTGACAGAATCATAATATGATTAAAGACTGCTTATCTTATTAAAACATTAAGCCAATCTGTATTCCCTGGGCAGATTCCATGTGGCCACAATCCCTTCTGTAGAATAACTGCATTTGATTTGCTAAACACTTTGTTAAGAATTATATTTTGCTAAGAATTTCTGCATCTATGTTCATAAAAGACAGCAGCCTATAATTTTTCTTACATGATTCTGGTTTGATACAAGGTGATGCTTCATGATATGACTTGGGGAATGTTCCCTATTCTGTCAAAAGTTCCTCAGCACTGGGACCATCTGTTTCTTTTTTGGGTACTGAAAATTGAACTCAGGGGCACTGGACCACTGAGCTACATCCTCAGCCCTATTTTGTATTTTATTTAGAGACAGGGTCTCATTGAGTTGCTTAGTGCCTCACTTTTGCTAAGGATGGCTTTGAACTCGTGATCTTCCTGACCCAGGTTCCCAAGCCACTGGGATTACAGATGTGTGCCACTGTGCCTGCCTGATTTTGATGCACTAGTGACCCCTGTGAAGCCATGCGGGCCTGGGGGGGTCCTTTGGGGAAAGAGTTTCAACTATAGGCTCATGTCCTCCCTGGTCTTGGGGCTGCTCAGGCCATCAATCTCATCAACAATGGCACTTGGCAACCATAGGCTGTACCAGTCCATGGGGGCTGGGCACTCTTCAAAATTTTTTAAAATTAAAAAAAAAAAAAAAAAAAAGGTTTTTTTTAGTTGTAGATGGACATAATACCTTTATTTTATGTATGTATTTGTATGTAGTGCTGAGGATTGAACCCGGTGCCTCACATGTGCTAGGCAAATGCTGTACCACTGCTATACCAGTCCAAAAGTCTGGGTTTCTAAGACATTCTTGATGATTCTTCATATGTTAGTTCTGTTAGTTCTCCTGAGATTTCTTTCTTTCTTTTTTTTGGTGGTGCTGGGGATTGAACCCAGGACCTTGTGCATGTG